TGGGAGTATAAATTAGTTCAATCATTATGGAAGACAGTGTGGCAATTCCTCAAGGATATAGATCCGTAAATACCATTTGACCCAGCAATCCCATCACTGGATATATACTCAAAGGATTATAAATCATTGTACTATAAAGACACATGCACATGTGTGTTTACTGCAGCACTATTTACAATACCAAAGTCATGAAACCAACCCAAGTGCCCACTAATGATAGACTAGATAAAGAAAATGTGGTACATATACACTGTACACTGTGGAATACTATGCAGCCATAAAAAGGAATAAGATCACGTCCTTTGCAGGGACATAAATGAAGCTAGCAGTCATCATCCTCAGCAAACTAACACAGGAACAGAAAACCAAACACCACATGTTCTCACTCGTAAGTGGGAATTGAACAATAAGAACATATAGACACAGGAAAGGGAACAACACACTCTAGGGCCTGTTGGTGGGTTGGGGGAGAGGGGTGGGAACTTAGAGGACAGGTCAATAGGTACAGAAAACCACCATGGCACATGTATACCTATGTAACAAACCTGCATGTTCTACACATGTATACTGGAACTTACAAAAAAAGACAGCTACTCCATAGACAGAGCAGCCCAAAAGGCTGCTGGTTGCCTATTTTTATTGTTATTTCTTGATTATATGCTAAACAAGGGGTGGGTTATTCATGCCTCTCCTTTTCAGACCATGTAGGGTAACTTCCTGTCGTTGCCATGACATTTGTAAACTGTCATGATGCTGGTGGGAGTATAGCAGTGAGGATGACCAGAGGTCATTCTTGTTGCCATCTTGGTTTTGGTGGGTTTTAGCTGGCTTCTTTACTGCAAGCTGTTTTATCAGCAAGGTATTTATGACCTGTATCTTATGCTGACCTCCTATCTTATCCTGTGACTTGAAATGCCTTAACCATCTGGGAATGCAGCCTAGTAGGTCTCAGCCTCATTTCAGCTAGCTGCTTTAAAGATGGAGTCACTCTGGTTCACACACCTCTGACAGTAGAACGTACTCATTACAGTTTTCCCTTTGGAAAATATTTATTCCCCGATTTAACCCATGACCACTATAACCACCATCATTCATTGATTCACCACATATTGGGTAAATAATAATCTTACTTGTTACTTCATGTTTATTTCAATGTTTAATATTAGATGTGTTTGAGGACTTCATTTAGAAGTTTGGCGAGGTTTTTGTCCAGAAATATGCCAAAGGAACGGAACAGTTGTTTATATCAATTATTCTATGGTAAAATTTGTTTCATCATACATCATTTCACTTAAAGTCACAGTTTCCAAGGACCTATAGGTGACATTAAATGAAGATTTACTATATGTGTAAAATACACACACACACACACCCCCTACCAGTGGTAAATATAGTAACAGAGGGATGGAGATATGAAAGGAAAATAAATCTTGAGGCACCAAAATCATGAAGCTAAATGGAAAAGTCTAGCTGGGAACTGCTTAGAGTAAATGTGCCTCCCATTCTATTCAAAGTCACCCCTCTGCTCACTGAGATAAATAAATGCATATCTGATTGCCTCCTTTAGAGAGGCTAATTAGAAATTGAAAAGAATGCTACCATTTGTCTCTTATCTACCTATCAGCTGGAAGTCGCCTCCCCACTTCAAGTCATCCTGCCATAGCTTCCAGTTGTCCTGCCTTTTCAGACCAAACCAATGGTTATCTTACATATGTCGATTGATGTCTCAAGTCTCCATAAAATGTATAACAACCAAACTGTGCTCTGACTACCTTGGGCACATGTCTTAAGGACCTCCTGAGGCTGTGTCATGGGCACCAGTCCTCAACCTTGGCAAAATAAACTTTCTAAATAAACTGAGACCTGTCTCAGATATTTGGGGTTCACAGAGCGTAGGTGAGTGAAAAAAAAAGGGCATAACTTATCTAACTACAGTTTCAAGGAAAGGCTCCAGAGACAAGTTATGTAAGTTCAGAATAATCTGCACGATTTTACCCAGCAAATGCAAAGGGAGAAAGTGAATTCCAGGTAGGAGAAACTACAAATACAAAAGGAAGATTTGAAACACTTGGGATGTTGAGGGGCATGGCCTAAAGCATAAGGAGCTGGAAACTGTAGTAAATGCTGCAGGAGTAGTAAATAGTGGAGCTGGAAAAGGAAAAGGAGCCAGGTCATGAAGGCTTTTAGTTGCCAGACTGAAAAAGTGGTTTTTATTCAAGAGTACTTTAAGAGTGTCCTACAGATCAGAGACCTCCCGGGGTACATTCTCACCTAGAAAATTTGAATTCACAGGTTGCATTTTCTCTTTTCTTCTGTTTTGTGACACCATCAGTTATTAGTATTATATCAATTAGTATAATACCAATACATTAATAAGTCAAAGCTTTTCGGAGGGTGCCTCCACAATGGATATATAAATGTACGGGTGGATTTTTCAGATGCACTGGCAGAGCAAATATCGGTTTTATATAAAAAGTAAGTATAGCCAATTGGATAAAGGTGAAGGAATGCTTCGAACTACTCATCACATCCTAATCACAAAAGCAGAAAGGACAATGGATAAAGACAAAAGCAAATGCAGTTATCACAGTCTGGCCTTATACAACTATTAGGACAAGAGAGGAGGGAGAAAAGCAGGCCCAGGTCAGTTTAAAAATGTCGTGTAAGTCAGGTACCTTGAAAACAATCACAGGCTTTGTTCCAGCAAGGCTGAAACCGCCTTTGCAAAAATTGTAACTGAGGAAATTATGACAGTAAAAGAGATCAGACCTAACTGACTCGACTCCATCTTGCTTCTAACCTTTAAGCTGGCCTTGTTCATTCCTGGGCATAGGCCAAACTAACCTTGGGAAGGAATTTAGTTTATAGTTCAACTTTGAAACAAAATTAATAATAGTGCTTTCCCGAAGGGGAAAGAAAAACAAAACAAATCACCCCTTCTTGCCTGGAGACCAGTCTGAGTCTGTCTTTGTAGGACTAACAAACTAGCTACAAGATTGGAAATTATGGTTTGGGGCCATGCAGCCTCTGGCTGCAAGTGTCTGAACCTCCTCAAATTGCTCCTGGGAATAACATCACTACTGCAAAATCTAACATCCGTGCTTGAGATATTTTGCAGACCCTGCACTCCAGGTCTGGTAATCTGGCTCAACTAGATTGAGTCAGGTAATCTGGATCAACCAGCTCTGCGATTTCACCCAAGAACAGAAGACAACAAGAGAAACTCACTTTTACCCCCTATGATTCCATCTGCAACCCAACCAATCAGCCCACCCCACTTCCCGAGCCTCTCCCCAGCAAATTATCCTTAAAAACTCTGATCCCGGGGAAGGCTTGCGGAGACAGATTTGAGTAATAATAAAACTCCAGTGTCCCATACAGCCTCTCTGCATGAATTACTCTTTCTGCATTGCAATTCCCTTGTCTTGATAAATAGGTTCTGTCTAGGCAGCGGGCAGGGTTTCTAGGAGGCTGACAAGGAAAACAAACAAACAAAAATTTGCCTTACAACCAATAGGGCAGAGGTCAGGATGGGGGCAGATGGGTGAGAACTAACAAATTAGCTCAAATTTTGGTCTCTCCTGGCCTCCTTCCATCTGGGAATTGGGGGAACCTTCCAGTAACAGCCGGGAGATTGTGCTTTTGTGGTGAGTGGGGGCACAGTGTGGAGGAAAAGAGTGAAACTCTGTAAAATATTTGAAAAGATTTATTCTGAGACAAATATGAGTGACTATGGCCTGTGACACAGCCCTCAGGATATCCTGAGAACATGTGCCCAAGGTGGTTGGGGTGCAGCTTGATTTTATACATTTTAGGGAGACATGAGACATTTAAATACATTTAAGATACACATCGATTCGGTCCAGAAAGGCGGGACAACTGGAAGCGGGGGATGCTTTCAATTTATAGGTATATTTGAAAATTTTCTGATTGGCAACTGGTTGAGTTATTATCAATAAAATGCAATGTCTGGGTTATAGTAAGAGATTGTAGACACCAAAGTTTCATCATCCTGATGGAGCCCGGCTTCAGAGAGAATACATTAGAATATTTCTTATCATACTTAAGGTCTGTGTTTATGCTAATGTTGGAGGGTATAATGAGGCAGGTCCGACCCCCTCACTTTCTGTCATATCCTGAACCAGTTTTTCAGGTTAAATTTTAGAGTGCCCTGGCAGAGGAGGATGTCCATTCAGATGGTTGGGGGGGCCTTAGAATTGTATTTTGGGTTTATAGTAGTTTAGTCTTTTATGAGAATGAAAGCCCGGGGTATGGCTGTATGGTTAGTGTGGGTTGGAACTCCACAGTTTATTTGTAGCCAGTAGAGACAGCTTAGGTTTGGGATGACTCTGCCTAATCCATTTCCTGTGGAATTGTTCCCCGTCGTGGTAGGCACTGAAGGGTCTGAAGAGCTACCTTATTGAATGGTTCATTTTTAACTTTTCCTAGTCCTTAGAGCTCCTAGATGTGTGTATAAGCCTAAGGCCATAGGGATTCCCCTTATAGGGTAGTAAATGGGAGGGGAAGGTAATTATACTGATGTGTATAGTTCTCAGAATGAAAACTGTGTCACAGTCCAAGTCTTTAATCGCTTGGTTCAAGAATGCGATGCTTGGGAGAAAACATCTTGGTGGACAGTCTGAATAAATTGGGAATCATAACTTTTATGGAGTTTTGATAGATATTGAGAATACTGTACATTGTTTGGAAAGGAAATTCAGTGGAAAATGGAGAATCGAATAAGTATGGAGCGAGTCCTATCTAACTAACCTTCGTTAAACTGTAAATCTTTAGATCTATTTTCTTTTTTGTCCTTACAAAAACTATATCTGACTAGAATTATTCTGTGTGATTGGTACATGGATATTTCTACTACTATTAATCTTTATAACCTTCACACTGTTAGAGACATGGTTAATTAAACATTTTATCTAAAATGTTTTAATTTAAATGCATTTAAAATGCATTTTAATTAAAATTTTAATTTAATGCATTTAAAATGCATTAATTAAACATTTTATCTAAAAATATTACATCTCTTATAAAAGTGTACATATGTAAAAAGAGAACAAATTTTCGTTCCATTGCAATTTCTCTGAGGAAATTAAAAGGCTGCCTTCAAAATAAGAGGTTAAAACAGAAATGATTCTAAAAGTTAATGTCCTAATGATCAGCAGAAGATGGCAACTTCAGTTAGGTAGAGAAAAACTTGTGAGTGGCTATGGTAACTTAGAGAAACTTTCAATTTAGTAGGGAAGAAAAACGTATCATGGAAGACGTGAGCATACTGATGCTAAAACAGTTTTACCTGCCACTGAAATTTATGCTCTAGAGGGAAAAGAAGACTATCTCATCGTTCTTGAGGGAAGCTGCTAGGATAGCAATGGCCCATGACTGTTTCACTGGGGAGAGTATGAAATAATCTTTAAACTCAAATAAATGGACCAAATTAAATTTGTCAGTATAGATTTAGTAAAATAAGATTGCTAGCCAATAATTACAGAAAGAAAAAGTACCACATTTGTTCACAAAGTCCAATATTTTGTTCGTTTAAAACACAGCTTTGAGTGGAGCTGTTACCTATTTATGTAATTTTTCTTGTTGAAATGAACAAAATAAAATTCCCTAAAAACTGTAATAAAATCAGAGAATTGTACACCTCCTTACCAGAGACTATAAAGCATCTATTGAATATGGTGAAACTGGGACCAGGTCAAAGGAGGATGTTGAGCATATCTTCTGTAACCTCAAACTTAGTCTAGAACTCCAAAGGACCTACCCAATATTTTACCTGGAAAGATAATAAATAAATATTTGAATTAACAGGTCACCCTATTGAAATTCATGTATGAGTACACATTATATGTGTATGACAATGTTCTTGGTGACATTATTCATAATAACCAAATTTTGGAAACTGTTCCAATATATATGAACAAGGATTTGCTAAATAAATTATGCTTTATTCACACAACGGAATGCTATATAAAGAAGTAACTGTGTATAAAAGAACCTACAAACATGTTCACGTTCTATTAAGTGGAGAAATTTATAGGGGAGGATATATACTATGGTTCCATTTTTACAACTTCATATATGTGTACATAGATGGATTTAATGTACAGGTGTATATATGCGTTCTCTGCCTCTCTAGTCCTCTCTCTCTGTGTCTCTACAAACGTGTACATGTGTGCACACAAATACACAGAAAGGAAATGCTATGGTTTGAATATTCCCTCTAAAACCTATGTTGAAACTTTATCTCCAATATGGCAGTATTCAGAGGTATGGCCTTTAACAGGTGATTGGAACATGAGGGTTCTGCCCTTGTGAATGGATTAATCCACTGATGGATTATCATGGAAATAGAACTGGTGGCTTTATAAGAAGAGAAAAAGAGACCTAAGCTACCATGTTAGCATACTTAGTCCCCTTGCCATGTGATACCTTGTGCTACTTCAGGACTGCAGAGAGTTTCTACCATCAAGAAGGCCCTCACCAGATGTGGCCCCTCAATCTTGAACTTCCCAGCCTCCAGAACTGTAAGAAATAAACTTTATTTTTTTAATAAATTTTCAGGTATTTTGTTATAAGCAACAGAAAACGGTTTAAGACAGGTGCCATGAGTGAGAGTGAACCTCCAGAGTTTGTGATCATTTGATGCCTAGGAGCTGTGTTGGACTTGACATAGCCAAACCTTGATCCGACTGTTGATGGCCTACATGTGATATAGGAAATATATTGGATATTGTGATTGTCTTTAATCAAACCATAAAGCTAGACCACACTGCTTTAGGCATAGACAGAATTTCCTCTAAAGGTAATATGTTGCCACTGTCAGATTCAATGTATGAATATGAAATAAAGACCTAGAAGGCAGTCCTTACATTGATTATGAATGAAGAAAAAAATACTCCTTCCAGTATCTGGGGCTGGTGAAAAATTTGGCCTTGATCTCCACCTTGTGGAGAGATGTGGAGATGCTCTAAACACTTCCAGTGATTGGAAGGTGAGCTGTCTGAAGCCAAGTGAAGGCAGAAAAGGAAGACAGACAGGAGAGTCAACTTGGTAAGAGACTCTGGGATTGGTCTGTGCCTGAATAGTTATAATTATATTCAGTGTAGCATTTTCCTTCTTATACTCCAATACTTTCAGTAAAATCTTACAAATGCTTACCTTATGCCCACTCTTAGGATTAAATAGAAAAGAGGCCATGCTGTTGGTTTCACAGCAGTCACCCATGAAGAACAGCTGTTCCTAGGACAGATGATTGCCCAGGGTTTAGCACCACCAGAAGCAGGAACATGCTACCATCACAAGACGGGAGCAGAAGATCTGAGAGGCTTGTTCATGAGCACATGTGGGGATAATAACATTAAGGATAAATAATCTGAAGGCTCTATAAATGGTGAAACCCTTTTAATTAACAGTATTTACCTGAGGACAGGACTCAGTGAGGTAAATATGATTTTATGTGGAGTCTTGCAATAAGTTTGTCTCCCAGCCTCCAGCCACTCCAGCCCTAATATACATATACCCTTTATACTTCTAGACCTTTTAAAGCATGCATCTGATCCTATTGTCACTGCTCAAAATCATCAATACTTTCCCTTCTGCCTGCAGAACAGATTCCAAATTCCTTAAACTTTCATTGAAAGGCCATTGTAGATTACAGTGTTAGATTAAACACAACATATATTTACAACCTCAGCAATCTCTATACATCTTTTCACAATCTTTAGGTATATGAGAGTCCTAGCTGTTCTACAAAACCTGACAGTGTAATTTGGCAAACATAGTAATTTTGGCTTTTATCCAGCTTGGCCCTGCTGGTTTTTTTTTTCAAGAGGTCTGAGTCTGCATTGGTTACCAAGAGTTTCTTAGTCAAGCCCTACCTATATGGCAGTCAGTAGGAATTTCTGCCAGAGTATGGTGAACCAATCATTGAGATTCTCCAGTCCATCATGGATTATTCAGTGAGAGAGTAAAAGTAGATGAAGCATCATCAGTTTGCCACCATCTTAACCTAGAAACAAAAACACAGTAAAAAGGAAAGGACACTAAAAGAACCAAGCAGAAAACAAAACAACCAGTATTCCAAGTGAGATTTATTTTTTTATGTTCTATTTTTCTGTTAGTGGCCTCTTAAGTTGCAAAATATAACTGAATATGAATTAAACTGTAAATACATAATTGACTCATTTATCTATTTTTCTCAGAGACAAAGGCATAGTGCTAGTTTTCTTTGAAAACATTCTAAACCATGCTAAAACATGTCCAGTTTACAACCGGCCTTTAGAATTTGTATAGGGCTGATTTTCTGCTTCGAAACTGATGCTATTATGTCTCTTCCAGCTTTACTAAAAAGGATTTTGTACTGTATGTTTATATCAGATCTAAAGCCCTCACAAAACATGAAGACATAATTAAATGTAATCATTTTTGCTGATTCTCTGGACATGGTCCTAATGTAGATAAAATTAAGACCTCATTCATAGGAAAAGTTGGTCATTCATCCAGTGTCTACCTATGATCATTGTTGTCCATACACTGACTTAAAATTGCCCCTTCACGATTCATGACACAGCACTGTCAACAACTTCACATGTGTTTTCACACTTTCATTCTGCTTGGATCCTCACTAAATCTTGTGACGTACTCAGAGCAGATTCGGGTTTCACCTGACATACCCATGTAACTATTCTGAAGAGAAGTTTGGTATTCTCTAGCAAAATCAAAGATGTGCCCACCCTATGACCCAGCAATTCTAGGCATATGCACAACAGAAACTCATGTGCAAAAGGAGAAATGTTTAAGGATATTTTAGAACAAGAACTAAAAAAAAAAAAAAAAAAAAAAAAAAAAACCCAAATTGACAATTACCTAAATATTCATTCTTTGGGAATATATACATTGCAGTACAGCCACAAAATGGCATTTTATATATCCATATGAAAAGGTCACAAAAATAGAGTGAAAAAAGCAGGATACAAAAATACTGGCATAGTACATGATATGGGTAAAAATTTAAAACACAAAAACAATATATATTTTGGGGATACATATATAGTGAAAAAATAAACTAATAGGAAGGACATATCAACTACAGTTCAATGACAACGGAAAAAAAATGGGGTTGGAATAAAATAAGAACTAAAATATCTCTCTTTTTTAATTTCCTTCACAAAAAAAAGGGACAAAAGAAGGAGAAGAGGCAGCAGCAGTAGCAGTGTGGCTTGGGAGTCAGACACACTGATTTAAGATGTGACTCCTATAGGACCTTACAGTTACTTTAAACCCTTTCCACTCTCTGGACCTGTTTCATACTCTACAAATGAGGAGGGAGACTAGATAATCTCAAGGCCCACACAGCTCTTAAATTCTGTTTTTCTGTCCTTACCACCAGTCCTTGTCTGTATATGCTTATGTTCTTAATTTCCATATACTCAGTTAACAATCTTCTGTACATCTAAGTAACAAATTGGCATTTCCTCTCCTGGTACAGAATGTTACGGGCATTAAAAATTAAAAAAAAGAAAAAAAAGAAACATATTAGTTAATTTTTTTTTTTTTTTTGTAAGTGCCAGAAAATGAAAGCAATATATTGACTAATAATACTGGACAAACAGAGGGAAGAAGAGGCCTAAAGTCTCTCTAAATCCACAGATTCAGGACTGGTACAATGGCTCACACCTATAATCCCAGCACTTTGGGAGGCCGAGGTGGGCGGATCACCTGAGGTCAGGAGTTGGAGACCAGCCTGGTCAACATGGTGAAACCCCGTCTCTACTAAAAATACAAAAATTATCCGGGCATGGTGGTGGCTGGTATCTGGAGTCACAGATACTTGGAAGGCTGAGACAGGAGAATCACTTGAACCCTGAAGATGGAGGTTGCAGTGAGCCAAGATCACACCACTGCACTCCAGTCTGGGAGACAGAGTGAGACTCCATCTCAAAACAAAACAAAACAAAACAAAAAACAAAAAAACCCTGCAGATTCAAATGTTATAATCATGATAAAGTTTTTGTTTGTTTGTTTCATTTTGTGATTTGGTTTCCCCCTGTGGGTACCTTTATTCTTATGCGTATCTTCTCTATATACTTTCAAAGGTGGCCAGCTAAAGGTCCAGATTTATGACATTATTAAGGTAAACTTTATCAATGGATAAAAAGTTCCTCAGCTTCAAATCCCCAAAACTACAGCTCTAAACTCTCTTATAATTCCTATCATGGCATAGATGAGCACTGCAGATATTAAACTGGTTTCTGGATTTTATACTTATTTCCTATCTGCATTTTCCTGCAAGAGTAATATTCACTCACTGATTTATGGTAACATTTTTTTACACTTACATATCCCATTGCACTTCACAAGTGTTTCTTTGCTCATTACATGACTAGAGCATCACAAAAAGCCTGTGAGGTGCATGGCTTGTCAGTACCATACCCCACCCTCAATTCCCTGTGCCTTTCATTTTGTTTCAGGAATTAATGGGTCCAAAAGGAAGATAAGTTGACTGACTTCCTCATGTCTGACAGGCAATAGATGATAGAATTGGAGCAAGAAGGTTCTCCATTATCTGTTGCTTCCCTCTGAGTTTGTTCACAATGTACAGCTAGGTGATGGGTGAGAAAACATCTTTGTTGTCCTGAGGCTGTCCAGAGATGGACACTTGACTCCATGGTTACTTGGAGAGGTACTACATCCTCTCAGGGTAAATGGGCTCACCCTGGACAGCATCACAGACCACCCAGGATCATGATGGCATTCTCAGGGCCAGAAGCAACATATGGAGAAACCCCTTATCCTGAATGCATCCAGGTCAGGCTTGAGCTATAACTTCTGCCCAGATTCAGGGGAGCTGGAGCAGGAAGTTTAGGGTCTGGTGTTGGGAGCCCAAGGTTGGAGTTCCAGCCCCACTGCTGATTGGCTTGGGGGATCTGGGAGACCTGCCACTTCCCTTCTCAGTTTCTTCTTACGAGAAAAGGGAGGCAAACATCTGACCTCACAGAAGCACTGGAAGTTATCATCTGAAAGAATGGCCATAAGATTATTACTGTCACCTCAGTTCTCTTCTCCAGTGCTTCTGTGGACCCTCGTGGCAAATCCCTTCTACTTGTCTTGAGAAGAAAATACCCAGGGCCAGCATTGCTTCTCTCAGCCAATCAGTTAGTCAAAAAGTACTTTCTGATGCCCCAGAAAGAACCTTGTCCGTGCTGGGCAACGTCTAGGATATAGAGAGGAATTCAATCACACAGCTGTTGCCTCTGAAGAGATCACAGAGAAGCTGTCATTCTGGGGAAACAGGAGGTACCAGTAAATACTGTAACAAAGGGATAAAAGATATAAGAGTACAAAGGAGTGATCAATCGACCAAGCTGTGGAATTAAGTAAAGACTTCAGATATGAAATGTTTAAGTAAGTCCTGTTTTCACCCAGGTAACGCAGTGAGAGGAAGCGCATTCCAGGCAGGAGAAACAAGTGCAAAAACCAAGAGACTTGAAACAACTTGGACTGTTGAAGGAAATGGCCTGAAATATAAGGACCAGGGAGTCATAGTAAATAATGCAGTAGTAAATAGTTAAGCTACAAAGGTAGAAAAGAGCCAGATCATGAAGGGCCTTGAATGCTGGGCTGAAAAAGTGGTCTTCATTCCAGGCAAATTATGTAATGCTGTCATGCAGTTTAGTGACCCCATTTGTCAAGGAAAATTACAAACTGCATTTTCATTCTGTGAAACTATCCACTTTAAAAGGCATCGTCAATTTCAGACAATACTGATATGTTAATATTTATTCCAAAACCTGCCTTTCCTTGTGCAGGGTGATAAGTTTTCAACAGTCACTCTTGAGACATCTGTTCTTTTTGTGCCCTCCAGCTGGTGGTACTCATGTGTGCAGGGTACTCACATTTTAGTGAATGAGGGGAAAAAGGAGAGTGAGAGAGAAGGAATAAGAGGTGAGGATTAGAAAACTTTGAGATTCTCTACCCTTCCCCCAGCCATCCCACTACTCTTCAGTTCTTTTCTCTCTTCCCATGCAGAATGGAATCTCCTAAGAAACAGTCACAGTCTCATACAGGGTAACTGATAGCATGCCAAGTGTCTGAGGTTTTGGAAAGAAGTGGGCCAAGTACCATTTGAATTACTGTGTGGGTGAATCTGATAGTTTGTGCGCAGTGATTTGTCTACTTCAGTGTTTAAGCAACGGAGGCCCTAAAGCCAACGAACATCCACAGTTATCAACAAATATTCAGCAAATAATAAATCAACAGATACCCATGGGAATCAACAGTTTCAATAGACCTGAGTGAGTGTGATGAGCAAAGGCTCTGCAAGGTCAGTACTATGCCAGGGTGGGGCTTGACTACTGGGGACCTCGCTGAGGCTATCTGCACGAGAAATATTTTGTGTTCCATACTAAATGCTGGTAAGAAGAGGCAGATCACTGAATGATAGCATCTGGGTGGTGCTTGGCTATGTATGTGTAATAGAGGACTGATATAATAGAGCTGTAGGTTAACTAGGGCTCTCCTTTCATTGGCCCTGACTTCCTTCTTTTATTTTAGTTTTTTAGAGATGGAGGTCTCACTATGTTGCCCAGATGGGACTTGAACTCCTGCACTCAGGGATCCTCTCACTTTAGCCGTCCCAGCAGCTGGAACTACAGGCACACACCAGCGCGGCCCTCTAATTTCCTTCTTTAATTAGTCAACCAAGCTTTGAGTTAGGCTTTCAGAGCCCACCTCCCCTCTCTCTCATTCACAAAGGCACTGTTTTGTGACACTTGCTCCATCCATTCCATTTGCTTTCTGCTGTGTTATAGGGTGCAAAGAGGAGATTAAAAAAATAACCTCTTACCTTCCAGATGTTTGCTGTTGGTCTCCTGGTCTCATTCATAACATTGGGGTGGGGTGAAGGAAACCATACTGTCCCTCAAAATCTTTCCAGCTTTAGAGATGTCTGAGGAAGAAGTGAGTTGCTGGTGCTCACACCGGTGGACACATTACTTTGATACAATGAAAAGAAAGTCATGTATAGGTTCTTGGTGGCGGGCAGGTTTATTCAAAGGAGCTGTAAAGCAAAAAAATACAGTGGAGGAGCTGACATTTGAGATTAAGTGAAAAAAAAAATTGTCACAAAGAGATTTACGGGGAGGAGGGAAACCAAAAAGGACTTCCAAGACATCACATTCTTCGTTTACCTCCTACCTCACTGATGGTGACTTCTCAGTCTCTTGTTTTGTCTCCTCTTCTCTCTGATCTCTTTAAGACCCAGGGCTCTGTGCATGGTCATCTGTTGTTCTCTATGTACACCCACTCCCTAGGGTGATCTCATACTCTCCCATGGTTTTAAGTATCATTTACATGGAGAAATTTCCAACTTATGTATCCAGCTTAGTCAGACCTCTCCCATGAACTGCACACTCCAATAACTGCTCAACAGCCCCACTTAATGTCCTAAAAACACCTTCAAACTCAACTTGTCCAAAACTGATTTCCTAGCCTCTCCTCTTCCTAGAACCCATCCAAACCACAGCCTTCTTCATCTCTATCAGTGGCAACTCCATCTTCCCAGTTTTTTTTGGAGCCATCCATGACTCCTCTCTTTCCTTACATTTGTGAGAAAATTCTACTTACTCTTCCTTCAAAATATACCCCCAATTTAAATACCTCTCACCACCTCCATTGTTACCTCTCAGATATCATAATCTCACATATGGAATACTGCGATACTCTAACTAGTTTCCCTGCTTCCTCACTTTCTCCTTTATAGCCCGTCCTTAAAACAGCAGAGAGATTTTTTAGAAACATAAATCAGGTCAATTATCTGCTGAAAATCCACAGTGGGTTTGTGGACATGGGATGCAACACCCAGGTTATGCTTCAGTGATGGACTTATCATGCTGCTTCAGCTCTCACCCCCATTAGAGATTGCCTCAGGTGCTGAAAGCAACCTTGTCCAAGGCTACATCCCTTCCTGGGGCAGCCCACATCCAAAGAGTGATTAGTGTAGGGGTTGAAAGGCCTGTAAATATTACCCCAACTCTGAACGGCCATTCTAGTTCCAAAGCTTCCTGTGGGTGTGGTTGACACTGTCACTGAGTCTTTTTCAGAGCTTCACTTTCTTTGTGCTCCTGCTTCTTTCCCATTTATTCCCCAGGTATTGACCCCAAGGGCACTGCTTAATAAATTTTCTACAAGATTAACTTTGTTTCTGGGTCTGTTTCCTGGGAAAACCCAACTTGCGACAGGCTCCCCATTTCATGCGGAGTAAATGTCAAGTCTTAAAAATGCCTTATATTATTTAGACCCTTACTTCCTCTCTGACTTCTCCTGTGTCTTTCTCCTTCACCTATGTAGCTCTAGCTAAATAAGCCTCCTTGTTAGTCTTTGAACATGCCAAAGACACACTTATCTCTTAGGCCCTTTCCTCTAGTAGTTCCTTTTGCCTAGAATGCTCTTTCTCTAGATATATGCTTGGCTAACTCACTTCCTTCATTTATTTGCTCAAATATTACCTTCTCCATGAAGTCCACCCCAATCTCCCTATTTACCATGGTGATCTACCACTTCCCTTCCCTCTTACCTTGTTCTAATTTTCTTTTTTATAACAGTTATCACTTTTTGACATCCCACATAATTTACTATGTTTTTTGTTTGTTTGTTTGTTTGGGGTTTTTTTTAGTGTTAGCCTCCCCTTGCTTGAATGTAAGCTCCACGAGGCATCACTGAATTCTTTGTTCATGAAATATCCCAAATGCCTAGTTAAAGTGCCTGGAACAAAGTAGGCACTGAATACATTTGTTGAACAAATGAATGAATAAAGTAAATTTAACAGTAGGAACAAAGTGTGTGTAGAAAGAGGGTGATAGAGAGGGAAGAATATGAATGAGTCATGGAGAAAAATCACAGCTATGAATCACTTCTCCCTTGGTGCTAATGTTTCTTTCCCATTTCTTTATGCAAATATTAGGAAAAAATGATAATTAGAGCATTACTTGGCATCAAGGGACCTAGTTTCAGTCCAGCACTCTTACTAGCTGTGTGACCCTGGTTTCCTTTTTCTCTTTAAGCTTAATCTCCTTATCTGAAAAATGGAGGTAGTAACACTCAGCTTCCAGTATCCTGTGAAGATTAAGATGTGCCCAGCACATACTAGGTGTCCAACAAATGTTTACTGACATCCCGACATCCTCCAAAGGCAAATGATTTAAACTAATAATGCAAATGTCTTGTAGTATATGCTTGAAAATGTAACCAGAAAAATAGGTATACACATTCATTACATTATATGTGACCTTCAACTTTACGTTATGTACCTGTTTCATAGATTTGGGGTAGAGGAAGAAATCTGCCCCATTTCCATTTAATCAGTGACCTCTTAGCTACTTTACTTGCTTTCTAGGATAGCAACAGAAAAACATATTTAAGGCCAGGCACGGTGGGACATGCCTATAATCCCAGCACTTTGGTAGGCTGAGGCAGGCGGATCACCTGAGGTCAGGAGTTCGAGACCAGCCTGACCAACATGGTGAAACCATGTCTCTATTAAAAATACAAAATTAACCAGGTGTGGTGGTGCCTGCCTGTAATCCCAGCTACTCAGGGAGGCTGAGGCAGAAGAATTGCTTGAACCCGGAAGGTGGAGGTTGCAATGAGCCACGATTGGGCCATTGCATTCCAGTCTGGGCAACAAGAACGAAACTCACAAACAAACAAACAAAAACCATATTTAAAAACTCCAAAAAAAAAAAAATACCAGAAAACAACAGAGGTATAGTGTTAGCTGTGCAGAACAGTAGAGAAGAATCACAGGCCCTAGGTTTCAATGTTAAACACATTACTGAATTAATAGCTATGGATAAATGACATTAGGTATTCCAGCCTTTCAACTTGTTTTTTCCTCTCTAGAACACTCCTTCCTCAAATCATTGCATGGGCTGGCTTCGTTAGTTATTTGCTAATCCACTCAGGCCTTCCTCTGAAAACCTTTTGCTGAAGTAGTTCCCTTATTTCAGTTCATCTCTATCCATTGCTCTGCCTTTTTGTTCTTCATACAACTTATCACTCTCTGAAATCATACAGGTTATTTAGGTTATTTGTCTACATCTTTGTTGCTTTTCTCCCCTCTATGAGAATGTAAGCTCCCTGACAGAATGGACAGTATCTATCTCATTCATGACTATCGGGCAAATGCATCAAAAAGTAGCTGAATGAATGAATGAATGATTGCATTCAGGATAATAACCCTGCTCTCTTAACTGTCCAGTAATGTTATAAAGATTAACGAGCTCTCTGGGAAAACAAACTCAGTTCTTAGCAGAGATTAAAAGAGCTATGTACATCCAAAGAATTATTTAAATAATTTCTTTCACATTTCAGTAATAGAATTTCTAGACCTATATTCACTAGTTAAATGTCACTGGAGCATTGCTAAATATAAAGGTTAACCAAAAGGACATGTGGTTTACCCTCTTGAGAATTAAAGGGAATTCACCTTTATTAAGCATCTGTGCTGTACAATGCTACATGCTAAGGATATAGTTTCTCATATACCTCTAAACAGAACTGAGTAAAGAGTGTTACCCTCACTATCAAGAAGAGGAATAGACTCACAAAGATTAAGTAACTTGCTAGTACAGAGCTAGTAAAAGCTGGAATTAATGTCTAATCAGCTGACTTTATTGTTTTTTTCGCTTATTCCATCCTTTCTTGAGGAGCATGTGGCCCTCAGATCTGTGCTTCTTAGGCCAAGATCAAGCATACCATCTCCATTGTTGAAATGGGCTTATTTGAAAACAGTGAAAGAAAACAAAACTTTGCTAGTTTAGTCACTGGTTTCGTGAAATCCCAGTGGAAAGAGACATGGATAATTTGGAACTTTGTATGATTTGAAAAGCCAAGTTTTTTGCCCCAAATTAAGCTTAGTGAGAACAAGGGCAAGCAGATGGAAGACATATTAGGAAATAAGTCTAGGGGCAAGAAAAACCTAATTTTCTAGATCAGTGTTTCCTAATCATTACTGATGATAAAGAATCACCTGGGGTATCTTGTACAGCTGTCCCAGGTCCCTTCCCAAGAGATTTTGATTCATTACATCTAAGATAGGGCTCAGCAATTTATATTTAACAATTGCTCCAGGTAAATCTTATCAGGCAAGTATAGGAAATAATAACTCTGACCTCACTCAATTGCCACCTATAAATCAGTGATTTTCAATGTGGGGTCCCAGGACCAGCAGCATCAGTCTCATGTGGGAACTTGTTATAAATATAAGCCCGTGGACCCTACCCTAGACCTGCTAAATCAGAATCTCTGTAAGAGGGCCCCAGAAATTTGTATTTTAACAAGTTCTCAAGGTGATTCTGATGTGTACTAAAGTTTGAGAGCTACTGTACTAAATAATCTCTAATTATAGCCAATAATTAAAAAACCTTCGATTGTTCAACCCCCAGGTGCAAGAAGTAGCATAAGATGAAATAGAATGACCAGTTCAACCCCCAAAAAGGGCATCCACCCAAGATATGCCTCCAAGGGAGAACGTCTCAGAGAACACAAAGAGGTATTTGACCAAAAGAGTCACTCAACTGCTAGGATAGGTAGTCCTTGTCTAACAGGTTATGATATATGCTTTGGACCAGAAACTACTATGCATTGTTTCCTATTTCCTCCCTTTTTCAAATGGTAGTTTTGATTATATTTTTCTGGTTATCTCCTCACTACTGTATACTGGGTGTGTTGAGAAGAGTAGTTTATAATTTAAGTATAGATGACCAGACTGATAGGAAGATGGATCTAAAGATGGCTGCATATCAACTAGGGATCTTGAACTTACTGCTAAATGCAGTAACTGGATAAGACTTCAAGTTTTTCTCCTTTGGGGACATGAATTTATCACACTTATGTGTGGCATTTTTTGAAAGAAGATGTGTAGGAAGAAATGTGTCCATGGATGCTAGGTATTCAAATGAAGAAGCTATACTAGATATTTGTGATTGGTGAATAGCATTCATTCTTCATTTCCCCAAAGCCCTCGATTCTACTGGAAATCCACCTGGTTCCAGAGAGATACATCCTAGGGCAGGGGTTCCCAACCCCTGGGCCACTGACAAATACAGGTCCATGGCCTGCTAGGAACCAGGCCGCACAGCAGGAGGTGAGCTGCAGGTGGGTAAGCAAGCGAAGCTTCATCTGTGTTTACAGCTGCTCCCCATCACTTGCATTACCACCTGGGCTCTGCCTCCTGTCAGATCAGCAGTGGCATTAGATTCTCTAGGAGCATGAACCCTATTGTGAACTGTGCATGCAAGGGATCTAGGTTGCATGTTCCTTATGAGAATATAATGCCTGATGATCTGTTGCTGTCTCCCATCACCCCCAGATGGGACGGTCTAGTTGCAGGAAAACAAGCTCAGGGCTCCTACTGATTCTACATTATGGTGAGTTATATAATTATTTCATTATGCATTAGAACATAATAATAGAAATAAATTGCACAATAAATGTAAGGCATTTGAATCATCCCCAAACCACCCCTTCCCCTCACCCATCCTGTCTGTGGAAAAACTGTTTTCCATGAAACCAGTTCCTGGTGCCAAAACAATTGGGGACCACTGCCGTAGAGAGTTTAGGGATGGAACACATGACCTGCTAAGCCAATCAGTGTATTTCATCCCTGAGATTTTAGTGATTGGTCAAAGTATCTGACCTAAGCCAGCAGAGAATACATCATAGGACACAGGCTATCTTTCTCTAGATTGGACTGCTGTAGCCTGGAACTGCTGGTCCAATTTTGCTACCATAAGAAAACACAGCCTGAGAATGAAACTGACACACAGAAGGAAAATCCTAAAGAATCATAAACACTGATCCTGAGCCCCAATTCAAACTATGCCTGAAGCCCATCTGAGCTCTGGATTTTTTTTTTATTTATATTGATCAATGCTTGGTAACTGTTTAAGCCTGTTTGAAATGGGTTTCCTGTTACATGCAGGCAAGTTCTGTTAGAAAAGGCAAATCAAAGCTATAAATATGAATTTGCATATGGCAGTAGATAAATAATTGTTCATTTCGTTTCTGGATTAATTATATAGTACCTTAACTTTCCCCACAGCTTCAATATAAATTGGTTTTCCTTTTAACTTCCCTCAGTAAAAATATATTGGCCTCTCTCAAGAAGTTCCTCTCACAGAATATATTATGTTCACATATATTTCACATTCTATTATTGAGAAAAATTGGACTGGCAGAAATTGTGGGTTGGTAGGGTCATGTAAGTTTTCATTAAACTGGGTTAGGGTTTGAAGGTTTGAATTAATTACACCTCCTTCCCTTCCAGATTATGAACCAATTAAAAAATATACACAGAAATCAAATAGGGATTAAGATATCAGCTTTAATATATTGTTCAGTGAAAAAAGCAAAATTCAGAACAGCATGTATAGTATGCCACCATTTGTGTAAAAAAAAAAAAAAACCTGATACACACATACCCACACACAATATGCTTGTAAATACATGGAATATCTCTGGAATGATACATAAGTAACTGGTAACAGTTGTTACTTTTTGAAAATGGGACGGGGGAACTGAGGCCAGGGGTGAGAAGGAGGAAAAGAGACTTACTTTTTAATTGTATACCCTTTTGTACTGTTTGACTTTTACCATAGGCATGTGTTATTTTTCTAAAAAACAATTTATATATTAAAACTGTAAAAAAGAATAAAAATAGATACCAGCTTTATAGCTGATAGAGCTGGATTGGAGAATACGGCTTGGACCTGAGGCTGAAATGAACTTCTACCATAAGTCTAAGGACTTTGGGATCCCCCACCCCAAGGAGAGATAGTTGGGTCTACAAAGCAGATGTTTACCCAGCCATGTAGTGAAGGTCTGCAGTTTTTCCCACATCTTGCTGTGTGGAACAAACTCAAGATCCAAGAGCCGCCTAAGCTGCCTATCCATTATAACAATTTTCTCAATCTCATCGAGTTATTCCTCCTCCCAAGCATAAGATTGAATGAGTGTAAGAGAAGATAGGTGGAACTTTCTTCCAAACATTTTTGAGAGATGCAAGTCTTTTCCTTTTCTTGAGTCAGGAGCATGGAGAGAGGAAGAGGATAGATCCCATCACACCCTTGTACATTTTCATTCTCTTAAGCCACAATGGTTAACGCTCAAGACTCTGGTCAACAAACAGGGCTGTGGCTGTCCCCTTCCAGGGAGTCCAACAGTATGTTAGAAAAGTTCTGCTCCCATCAATGTAAGATTGGTGAGCAGTTCTGTTTTTGCCCCCAAGAGGCTCTGAAATAAGTCAAAATAGAACAGTAATTAAATTAACTCCAAGGCTACATTACACCCTAGGCTGAAAATTTGATCACAATTGTAGCCCTAATTTACAATTATGTCCAGCCATATTTCCTGACATAGCTGACAACAATTATACAATGACTCCCAAAGACAGCATTAAAATACTCCAAATAATACAATATCAACAACATAATAAAAATGCCTTAGTTTGAACTATATGACCTCGCCCCCACCCCATCAACTATTAAACTCCAAGGGAAAAAGGACTGCTCAAAATTAAATTTCTAATTCAAAGTCCAAAAGAATTAACGTCCAAAATTCTGCCTTTCCAATTTCTCGTTTTTCTCATTTCAGCCATATAGATCTCACAAAGATGTCTGCCCAGATATGGGGTTCCTTCAGCAGCTGCAGCCTTGGCTGTCTTCCTCTTGACTGGGTGTAGTTCCTTCAGGACCTCAGGAGTTGAATTAATCTAACCCCACAATTGCATATCATACATATTAAAGAGTCCAAAGGGTCAATAAGACATAAGATTATCACAATATCAACCTCACATCAAAAAAATTAGAAAGCACACTAGTCCCCAGACACTAGAACAGTTTTTTAAAGCAAATGTATGACCCCAGGACTTAGAACATAGGGCAATACAGACTCACATTGCTGTTGTCAGTCAAACATCATAGTAGACACTTAGTGGCATTAATAAGCAAAAGTAGACAGATAAAACATAGGAGAAAAGAGAATATCTTCTTTGTTTCATCCTCAGCAGGATGCCAATCTGTGCCGGTAGTCTGGACTCCATGACCTGTGAACTTAAACTAATTTGGAAGATATCTTGCAGTACAGTCCCAATATGATTGTACTGCCTTGAGTCCCAGCCCCAAATGTGCAGAAGTCCATGGCCTTATTAGGCTGTTACTCCTATGGAGCTTCTGTGAGAACCCCAGTGAGAAAGCATTGGTTTTGGCCAGGTGCTTCTCTCAAAAACCATACTTATATTTCAACTTTTCTTTCCTAGGCTTTGGTTAACCTCCACCAATGCCTCTTTAATAATGGAAAGCTCAAAGGCCCTTCCATTGTTTTCTTTTCTGCCACAGTAGAACTCACCCTTATGTGCATATGAGTTTCTTAGGGACAGCCAAGAAACAGGATAGAGTTAAAAATCAAAACACTAACAAAAATCTATTAGATTTCTATCTACCAATGCCAGCACTTAAAACATGATTAAGCCTACAGATTACCTACCACTGACTGTGTTCCAAGTTCTGCTGGGATACCACAATAGATGAGCCCACCAGTCCCTGCAAGGAAGTATAGCCTGCTTTCAGCCATTCTTGGTTCTCACAAGTGCCTTGCCCACTTAATATGCTGGGACTCTGAAGTCTCCTAAGAATCAAATCTAAAACTTCTGAGTCTTTCTTAGCACAGCAAAGAAATCTGTATCTCAGCTTGATTCTAGGTTTCTGTTCTTTCATTTTGAGGTTCTGGACAGATCTGTCAACCCTTGCCAAACTCAGCCTTTGCCTTGTGACTGAGGATTCTAGCTAGAGCCTGGCTTAATGCTCCTCTGGGCTGGCAAAGACTACTTGTGCTAAAGTCTGCCTGCACAGCTTGTATCAGTTAAAACCCACTCCATGTCTGCAGATACCAGCCAGAGCTATTGGAGACAAGAGAGACCCTAATGCCACTGATGACTAAAACCTTTCACTTAAGCTCCACCAGAAATCTGAATCTCTCCACTTGGAGTTTGGTCCCTAAATGCTTGTCTTCTTATCAGTTTTGCAAAGTTTCTCAGCCTATGCTTAGGTACTAAAATGCAAAGTAATTACCTTCTTAAATCTAAAACAGGTGAGCAATAGGTGAAAGAACCAGAAAGAGAGCAAAATTATTAGCCTTACTTTTAGTACAGTTAGAATTGAGAATGCAACTTGAACAACAGACCAAAATGGGCTTCCCACTCTTTCCCAAGTTAGATTTTTGAAGCCACCTGGGGGAGATTTGAGATTGCAAAGACACTTACCCAGCCAGTCACATGGGGTATCTCAGCAAGCTTCACACCTCAATGAGTGTAGAGTCCAAGTGCCAAAAAGAATGAGGTGAGAGGTGTTCAGCTACCTTTAATCTATTAACACCACCCAAGATAAAAAAAAAAAAGTATGAGCCAATGGATGTCAGGTTTCACCCTTCTCACTAAACAGTTAAATTGTGGACAGGAACCAGTGAAAAGCTTGGACAGATGGGCAAAAGGTTTCTTCCAAAAACATATGAGAGGGCAGAAGTTCCAATTTTTTGCCAAGCAAAACGTGCAAAAAGGGAGAAGATGGTTCTTACAAACTGGAAAGCAATCAAGACTTTTTGTGTCTACAGATTTAGAGTCTCATATATTTGGCAAATTTCAAGATGATCTCTAAGACGTTTTTACCAAATCGTAGACATAGATATGGAAATCATCATCAAATTTGATGAAGTACACAGAGGGTTTTGCTTCTACCTGATGAATGACCATGCCAGTTCTCTTGGAGCCATCGTCTTTGGCATACTCCACCTGTTTGCCTACCAGGCTGTCTATGACTTCTCCTGGCTCCCTCTCTGCGGGAGGAGAATCATTGGAATCTTGAAGGATGCGGAGGTCACCGTCTTTATAATCATCTAAGAGCTGGTACATATATAATACAGGATCTTTCTCATAGGTAATGTAAAACCATGTGTTCATGACAGGTGCCTGAGCTAAGACCATCCCCCTCCATTCATTTTTGGAACCTTCCTCTGTCTCAAAAATATGTTCCACTGCTTTGCCAACCATTATTTCTGCCAAGTGTGTATCACTGATTCTAGATGATGCAACTCTACTAGGAAGGACTTCAAGTGATGACACTCTTTCATCTCTGTGAAGTTCCAATCCATAAACACAGTCAAATCCATCATATTTGATAAGATACAGAGAGGGATTTACAGGTACCTGATCCAGAACGGTTCCTTTCCACTGTGTTAGAGGTTCATCTCCATCTTTCCATCCGTGCTGAATTCTACAGCCCACGATGTTCCTCCGAGGCTGGGAGGTGGGTCGGCTCCTATGCTTCTTGTGTGCAGCCTTCCTCTTCATCATGGTAACAGACACGCTGCCGTGGCCAGCGCCTGTCCCAGACCGCTGCCCTGCAGCTGCCTTTCCAAACGGGGTCTTCATGCCTGCGTGGAGGAGCACAGTTGCCAGGTGGACCGAGAAAGGAAATTAACAAAATCAGTGCATAACACGGAGACCTTTTTCTCCTAATCAGCGCACCCCGTACACCCACGCCCGTTTTTCCCGAAAGCTACACAGCAAAGCTGGAAATCAAGGCACCCTGGCTGAACGCCTGCAGTAACCTTCCTCCCCAGCTCAGTCTGGCTAAGCTAGAGCAAGAGATCTGCGGTTCGGTAAAATAGGAAGCATTTCCCCATTCCCCTCGCCCTGCTTCCAACACTACCCGGCCAGGAGGCGCAGATTCCCCACCGTCCCGGATTGCGGGCCTCAAGTGCCCAAATCGGACACCTCGCCGTAGCCTCAGCAGTGAGCCTATAGAGAAGGAATATCAGCGGGCTAGCAGCCCGGTGCTTGCAAAAGCTGGGAGAGGATGATCCGTAGGCAAGGAGTGTCTCTAAGAGGGCGGCGGGACAGGCGAAGAGGACCGTGGCGGCGTCCCTTGCTCTTGGCTCCTGCGTCCTCCGCCTTCCTGTTGGCGGTGGCAGTTGCGGCGGCCGCAGCCCCTCTGCCACAACCGACTCGCTCTAGTCGCTGCCGCGCCGCAGTCTCCTCCCTCTTTTTCTAGCGCAGCTTCCGGCCAGTAGAGAGGCCTCCTCTTCCTGCCAAACACCGCGCGGCGCTCCTCCCCCACCAACCTCTACCACAGCCCTGGGCGTGGAAGGTGCTCTTAGGCTCTCGGTCCCTCAGCTTCCCCCAAATCAGAAGCTGGGGATCCCACAACCACCTCTCTCTCACTGCATAGGTTTACCTCCCCTGGCTTAGCACTCCCCCCTCCCCCCACCTCACCTCAACTCCCAGCGCCCCTGCCCCATCTGCTTTCCACCTTTCCGGAATTGGCACTTTCCTTTTCCCTCCCTCCCCGCGTCCCCCCACCCGCCATTGAAGGGGATTTGTTGTAGGACAAGAGAAATGCGCTAGTGCTCAGTGTTCAGGCTGCCATCTTGACCCAATCTACGTAATTTTTACTGACTTGTCATTCCCAGACTTAACTTCTTGAGGATTTCTTTTCTTTTCCCCTGATTGCAAAATAATTGCATGCACAATATTGACACTGTAAAATTCAGAAAATTGGCATGAAGAGAAAATAACTGTAAGCCGGCCTCCCATTTTCCAGGGCTCACAGTGAAATAATAACACTCAGGATTTCCTTTTCCTTTTTTCTAAGCTCTTACAAAGCTTGGATAATTTTGCATACGCACTTTCATGCCCTGCCTATTTGCATATAGAATAAACATTTGCTCAGTTTTTTTAGATATTTTCTGAGAACATGTTTTGTAGTAGCTTCATAAAATTCAGCATTAGGATTTTTCATAATTTTGCCGTTGCTTCCTATCTTCAGACGTTTAATTTTTAAATACCTGTAAATTGTGCTTTCGCATGAGTTATTCTGTTCACTTGAACAGAATAACCTAGACACTAAACTTATAACTCAGAACAATTGCTATAATTAAAACAGGATTTTGTGAGATCATAAATCTGTGGAGAAAGACATTATAGAAATGATTCCATCGTTTTTATCGTTACAGCCATCCTAGTGGGTATGAATAGGTATCTTATGGTGGTTTTATTTTGCATTTCTCTAATGACTAATGAGAATGAGCATCTTTTTGTGTGCTTGTTGGACATTTGTGTATCTTTGGAGAAATGTCTATTTCAAGTGCTTTATTCATTTTTTAATTGAATTGTTTGTAGCAGGGCTGTTAATTGTTCTTTTTAAATTCTGGATAGGAGAACCTTACCAGATATATGATTTGAAAATATTTTATCCCGTTTTGTGGGGTGTCTTTTCACTTTCTTGATAGTATTTTTGATGCACAAAAGCTTAAAACTTGGTTGTGCTTTTGGAGTCACATCTAACTAAACGTTGCCAAATCCAAGTTCATGAAAATGTACCCCTATATTTTCTTGTAAAATTTTGTTTGTTTTTAGCTCTTATATTTATGTCTTTGACCCATTTTGAGTTATTACATATGGTGTGATGAAGGCATGGTGTGATGAAAGGGGACCAAATTCATTCTTTTGCACACGGATATCCAGTTGTCTCAGCACCTTCTGTTGGAGAGACAATTCTTAGTTCATTTAATTGTCTTGGCATACTTGTTGAAAATCAATTTACTACAGATGTATAGGCTTATATCTGGACTCCTAATTCTATCTCATAGAATTGTATGCGAAAACCATGTTTTTTATTTATCCTTATGCAAGAGCCACATTTATTTTTTGATTACTGTAACTGTGCAGTGTGTTTGAAATCAGTAAGTGTGATTTCTCTGAAAATATTATTAAGATTTTATTGGCTACCCATGGTACCTTTTTTTTTTTTTTTTTTTTGAGACGGAGTCTTGCTCTGTCGCCCAGGCTAGAGTGCAGTGACACGATCTCGGCTCACTGCAGCCTCCGCCTCCTGGGTTCAAGCGATTCTCCTGCCTCACCATCCTGAGTACTGGGGTTACAGGCGTGAGCCACCATGCCCAGCTAATTTCATGGTCGCTTTCGACTCCATATGAATTTTAGGATTGTCTTTTCCTTTTCTGAACAAAAGGACCATTGGGATTTTGATAAGGGTTGCACTGACTCTGTAGATAAACTTGGGGAGTATTGTTATCTCAACAATATTGCCTTACAATCCCTGAACACAGAGTTTCCAGAGGACATAATTTCCCACGAACAGAGTTTCCTATGAACACTGGGTATCTTGGAATTTATTTAGATCTTCTTTAAATTATTTCAGCAATGTTTTGTAGTTTTGGTTAGATTTATTTCTAAGTTATTTTATTCTTTTTGATGCTATGGTAAATGGAATTATTCACTGTGATGTTGTGAAATATATGTTTACTCTTTGATCTCCTTTTCTGGCATACAGCCCCTAAAACCCTTGAAGTATCCTGAGCGATAAGAGTGTCTTTTGTATGCTAATAAGATGACTGATGATTGGCAGACCCTAGATATCTTCAGGATGTGGGCTGTTCACTGGAAAGACCAGGGCATGATTAGAAGATTGGAGCAGAGAGGAGTTAAAGGTTGAATCGATCACCAATGGCCAATGATATCTACATAATGAAGCCTCCATAAGAACCCAAAATAACAAGGTTAAGAGAGCTTTGGGATAGCTGCACACCTGGAGGTTCCTGAAGGGTGCCTCACTTGAACAGGGCATGGAAGCCTGGTGCCCCATTCTACATACCTTGCCCAATATATCTCTTCCTTCTGGGTGTTCATCTGTATCTTCTGTAATATCCTTTCCAATAGATGGGTAAATGTAAGTGAAGTGTTTCCCTGAGTTCTGTGAGCTTCTCCAGCAAATTAATTGAACGAGATTTATAGTTGTTCTGTTAGAAGTACAGATCATAACCTGGAACTTGTAATTGGCATCTAAAGTGCAGGGCAGTCTTGTGGGATTGAGCCCTCATGTTTTTTTGTTTTTTTTTTTACAAACTAAACTGTCATCTCTTTATTCAATAAGATGTGTCTTTACAAGTTTAAAAAGACTGGACACCATTATTCTTTATGAATAATGCAGATAACCATTTTTAAAAACATTTTACTTGGTCGGGCATGGTGGCTCACACCTGTAATCCCAGCACTTTGGGAGGCCAAGGCAGGGGCAGATCACGAGGTCAGGAGTTCAAGACCAGCGTGACGTGACCAATATGGTGAAACCCCATCTCTACTAAAAATACAAAAATTAGCCAGGCGTGGTGGCATATGCTTGTAATCCCAGCTACTTGGGAAGCTGAGGCAGGAGAATCACTTGAACCCAGGAGGCAGAGGATGCAGTGAGCCGAGATCGTGCCACTGCACTCCAGCCTGGGTGACAGAGCAAGACTCCATCTCAAAGAAACAAACAAAACCACTTTACTGACTGTATTGTGACACGTTTATTAAGCATGAACCCCTATCAGTACTCCTAAACTGTAAACAATAAGGAACTAAGGTGTCAAAAGAAACACATTAGGGATCATATTAATAGACAAAAAATTTACATTTTCTTATTGCATTTACACAACACACAATAAGCAAAACTGAATGCTTTCTAAGCAAACATTTTTGCATATACTGCCTTCTCTTTCTCTTTCTGTGACTTTATCTTTTGTTTGACTTTCAACAGTTCTGCCTGGATAGCTTTATCTTCTGGTGCTATCTCCTCTGCTTTCTTAAGATCAGCCAATGCTTGATCATATTCTTTTAATCCTTGCCATCCTTGAGCTCTGCGGTACAATGCTTTGGTATTTGATAGGTCTATTTCAAGAGCCTCCAAACAACTGTCAATTGCTCCCTGCCAATTTGACATCTTCAGTTTACAAGCACCAATATTCAGCACACAGCTTAAAGCTGTAGGTTGCAGTTTGGCTCTATCTGCTGTCTCAATAACAGCCTTTGAACTGTCCACATATCTTAAAACTTTTGCATATTTTTTAATGGCCATCTCCCAGTTCTGGGATTTGAAAAAAGTATTTCCAATATTTTTTAAGTCTTCTGTTATTAATAAAATTTTATCTACATCTTTTAAATCTATATCCGCATCCTCAGGGAAATCTGGATGACTGCCGCCAGAGCCATCTTTTGGGAATATTCCCCAATCATCTCCTTCCTTCAATTCTCCACATTCTGCAATAATGCACAATTTAGCAGGTTTTTCACCTTTCACTTCCACATTTTCCAATATCCTTGTCACTCCTATTCCTTTAACTACTTGGCCAAACACCACGTTTCCCATCCAAATGAGGAGTTGGAACTGTTGTGATAAAAAACTGAGAACCATTTGTGTTGCAACCTGCGTTTGCCATGCTTAGTAAACCCTCCCAATCATGCTTATAATGGAAATTTTCATCTTCAAATTTTTCACCATAAATACTTTCTCCACCTGTCCCATTCTGATTTGAGAAGTCTCCACCCTGAATCATAAATTTCTTAATAATTCGAAGAAAAAGGCATCCTTTGAAATGGAGAGGTTTCCCAGTCGTGGGTCCAATGCCTTTTTCTCCTGTACACAGTGCACGAAAATTTTCCTCAGTTTTGGGTACAATATCTGCAAACAATTCTAAGACAATTCGACCAACTCGCTCCCCTCCGATGTCCACGTCAAAGAAGACTCGAGGGTTACTGGGGTTGGAGGGCTTGACTTGGGGGGACGGATGCGACATCTCGACTTGCACACGCATTTGGATGCAGATCCTCGTGGCCGCCCGGCAACTCAAACTCCTCCCTCATGATTTTTAAGCATTGATACTGTATCTTGTCTTAGTTCAGGCTGTTATAATAAATTACCATAGAATGAGTGGCTGAAATAATAAACATATATTTCTCACAGTTCTGGAGGCTGGAAAGTCCAAGATAAGAAGTACAGGCCAATTTGGTTCCCGGCGATAGGCCCTCTTCCTGGTTCCAAATGGCTGTCTTCTCATTGTACCCTCACATGGTGGAGAGCAGAGAGAGAGCTAGTTCTCTGGCCACCTCGTATAAGAGCACTAATCCCATCCATAGGGGCTCTGCCCTAATGACTTAATTATATCCCAAAGGCTCCACCTTCAAATATTATCACACTGGAGATTAGGCTTTAACATATACATTTAGGGGACAGGGCCACAAACATTCAATCCATAGCATATCCTGAAATTTGACTGAATCCTTTTAATTGTTTCAGTAGTTACTAATGGATTCCTTAGGATCATCTCTATATACAATGGTATAATCAGCAAATAAAAATAGTTTTACATTTTCCTTTCTAATATGGGTGACTTGTATTTATTTATTTTCTTGCTCAATTGCCCTGTCTAGAACCTACTGCAGTACAATGTTGAATGGAAATAGTGAGGGGGTATTCTTGTTCTCTTCTTATACTTAGGGGGAGAAGTTTCAGCCTTTGACTGTTAAATGTGAATTTAGCTCTGTTTTTTAGTCACATGTGTCTCTTATCTTGAAGAAGTTACCTTCTATTCCCAGTTTGTTGACAGGTTTATTATTATTATTATTAGAGGGTGTTGGATTTTGTCAAATGCTTTTTTGTGTCAATTGAGATAATCATTTTTTCCCTTCATCCTATTGAGGTATATTATTTTTATTAATTTTATAAGTTTTTTAATTGGAGTAAACTATACTATAACATAAAATTACCACTTTAAGAGTACAATTTAGTGGCAGTAAGTACATGCACATTGTTGTGCAATCACCATTATCCATTTTCAGAACTGTTTTGTTATCCCAAACATAAAATATGTACCCATTAAAAAATAATTCCTTATTCCTCCCTCCCTCAGTCCCTGGTAACTTCTTTTCCTTGGTGCCTCATACAACTGAAATCATACTATATTTGTTCTTTTATGTCTATTTCACTTAGCATACTGTCTTCAAGATTCATTTATGTTATAGCATTTATCACAATTTCATTCTTTTTTAAGGCTGAGTAATATTCCACTGCACTTATATATCACATTTTGTTTTTCAATTCATCTGACAATAGACAAAATGTTGTTTCCACATTTTGGCTATGTGAATGATGATGCTATGAACATTTGTGTACAAATATTTGTTCAAATCTCTGGTTTCCTTTCATTCGAGTATATACTGAGAAGTAGAATTACTGGATAATATGATAATTTAACTTTTTGAGGAGCTGCCAAACTCTTTTTCACAGTGGCTGTACCATTTTACATTCTCATCAGCAATGCACAAGTATTCCAAATTCTCCATATCTTCATTCACAGTTTTTATGTATTTATTTTTGTAATAGTCATCATAATGAATGTACAGTGGTACCTCATTTTACTTTTGACTTGCATTTCGTTAATGATTAGTGAAATTGAGGATCTTTTTATTCTTTTATTGGCCATTTGTATCTCTGAGAAATACCTATTCAATCCATTTGCCCACTTTTTCGTTGGTGCTTGTTTATTATCATTAAGTTGTAGGAATTCTTTGTATATTCTGGATATTAATTTCTCATTGGATATATAATTCACAATTTTTGTCTCATTCTGTGAGTTGTCATTTCATTCTGTTGATGGTGTCCCTTGATGCATTTATTTTAATTTTAATAGAGTCCAATGTATCTCCTGTTTCCATTCCTGTGCTCTTTGTGTCATAGCTGATAAATTGTTGCAAAATCCTATTTCATAATAGCTTTCTCTCATGTATCCTTCTAACAGTTTTACAGTTTTAACTCTTATGTTTAGGTCTTTGGTTCATTTAAGACAGCATAGTGTAAGGTATATGGTGTATATGATGTAAGGTAAGGGTCCAATATCTTTCTTTTGCAAGTGTCCATGTAGTTTTCCCAGCATTGACTGTTAAAAATATTTTCTTTCCTCATTTAATAGTCATGGCATTCTTGTCAAAAATCACTTACATAAATAAGCAAGAGTCTACTTCACAGCTCTCTTTTATTCCATTGGTCTATATGTGTGTGTTTATACCAGCAGCACACTGATTTAGTGCTGTAGCTTTGTAGTAAATTTGAAATCAAGAAGTGTGAATCCTCTTTGTTCTTTTTAAAGAATTTGTTTTGTTTTGTTTGTCTATTGTCTCTTGTGGTTCCATAGGAATTTTATAAAAAGTGTTTAAATTACTTTAAAAACCTTGAAACCTTATTAAGATTTTGATAGGAAATTCATTGAATCTGTAGATAGCTTTGGGTAGTATTGTCATCCTGAAAGACTTCTTTTAACATTTTTTATAGGGCAGGTGTAGTGGTAATGAACTTCCCTGACTTTTGTTTGCCCGGGAATATCTTAATTTCTCCTTCGATTTTGAAAGACATTTTTGCCAGATATTGAATTCTCAGTTGAAAGATTTTTTTCTTCATCAGTCTATCATCCAATTGCCTTCTGATCTTTAAGATTTTTGCTGAAAAATTGGCTGAAAGTTGGAGAGAGGTGGAGCAAGATGGTGGGACAGGGCTCTCCTGTGATTGTCCCTGCACAGAAACATCAATTTGAACTACTTACAAACTAAAATATCTTCACAAGAACAAAGAAAACCAGGTGAGATGTCACAGTACCTGGTTGTAGCACAACAATAAGAATAGCTGCATTGAAGAGGGTAAGAAGGACAGTTTTACATTATCCACATCACCTCTAAAAAAACTGCAGGCAGCACAGTATAAAAATATGTAACATCTGCTTGAAGGAAAGAGAGGGAAATGAGTACGGGAATTACCTAGTACCAGTTCCAGTCTCACTACAGTAAAACTCAGCACAAGACAGGTCCCATGGCTGCAGACTGTAGGTCAGTACCCACAGATTGATCTTCCAGCGTTGCCATGGTGCCAGGTGGGACCCCAGATCTCCAGACTTCAGGCCTGTGAGGTGTACTTGCTCTCTGACTCACTCCAGTGCCATGACAGGTAGAGCAGACCCAGGCTTTGGGCATTCCCCAGTGCCACACTGACTGTAACGGCTCCAGGGTTTCATCATGCCCCAGAACCATGCTCGCCCAACTGGCCCTGGGCATCAATAAAACACAAGATGACCTGCCCAGAATCTCTGGACAGGCTGATAGTGGAAGGGTCTTCCAAAACAAAGCCAATCTGTGAAGATTGGAGTCAGTACCCACTTCTTCAAATGTGAAGACATCAGGGAACAGCCACAAGGATCAAGAGCAATCAGGGAAACATGACATCATCAAAAGGACAAACAAAAATAGCAGTGACTGAAATGGAGATGTGTGAATTACCTGAAAAGGAATTCAAAATAACTGCTTTTTAAACTTAATCATGAAGAAAAACGCTTTTTAGGAGTTACATTATTCTGTGCATTATTTACAAAGTATAACCAAGTCTATGGTAAAATGAATTTCTAATTCAAAAGAATGCTGTTATCCTTGTTTAACATTTTCCCTATAATAATTACTATTTAGAAATAATTATGGTTATATTTTCAAACTTTCTGAAAAAATTGTCCATACAAGGAAGTAATGATTACAACCTGCTAAAACTGGTCAGCATGTAAATACTTCTTCTTTTTTTTTTTTTTTGATTACTTTTTACTAGCAGAAATACATTTGTATTATTTTTCTTTCTTCATCCACCCTCTCCACTTCCCTTTGTGGCCTCTGATAACAACTAATCTGACCTCTATGTTCATGATATACTAAAAAAGCTAAAAAGGCACTCACATATGAGTGAGAATATGCAACAGGATTTAATTCTTTTTTATGGTGAAATCATATTCCATTATATGTATATACAACATTTTCTATTTTTTATTAAAAAATTTTTACTGATTTGAGGGTACAAGTGCAGTATTGTGTAGTGATGAAGTCTGGGCTTTTAGCTATCACTTGAATAATGTACTTTATACCCGGTAGGTAATTTTTTATTCCTAACCTCTTCCCAACCTTCCACCTTTCAGAGTCTTCATTGTCTATTATTGCACTTTGTATTCATGTGCATTCATTATTTAACTCCCACTTATAAATGAGTCCATGCAGTATTTAACTTTCTGGGTTATTTCACATAAGAAAATGGCCTCCATTTTTATCCATGTTGCTGCAAAAGACAGGATTTCATTCTTTTATGACTGAGAAGTATTCTATAGCATGTATGTATGTGTATGTATATATATATATATATGTCACATTCTCTTTATCCAATTATTCATTGATGGACACTTAGGTTTACTCTATGACTTTGTGAATAGTGCTGAAATAAAGACATGAGTACAGGTAACATTTTGATATAACGATTTCTTTTTGATATATATCCAGTAGTGGGATTGTTGTATCAAATGGTAGTTCTATTTTTAGTTCTTTGAGAAATCTCCATGCATTTTTTTCCAGAGAGGTTGTTCTAATTTACATTTTCACCAACATTGAGTAAGTGTTCCTTTTCCTCAGCATCCTTGCCAACATCTGTTGTTTTTTGACTTTTTAATAATAGCCATTCTGACTGGAGTAAGATGGTATATCATTGTGGTTTTAATTTGTATTTCTTTGATGATTAGTGATGTTGAGTATTTTATTTTTTGTTTTGTTTTGTATTGTTTGTTGGCTGCTTTTATATCTTCTTTTGAAAAACATCTGTTCATGTTCTTGGCTCACTTTTTAAGGGATTATTATTATTATTTACATTACTTTCTGTGTTGCTTGAGTTCTTTGTAGATTCTGGATATTAGTCCTGGGTCAGATGGATACTTTGCAAATATTTTCTCCCATTTTTTAGGTTGTCCATTTACTCTGTTGACTGTTTCTTCTGCTGTGTAG